GGCTGGGGATTCGAACCCGCCACCTTAGGTGTACGTGGCTGGCGCCTTAGCCGGTTGAGCTATAGGCGCCGAGCCAAGATCTCATCTCTAAACAAAAAAGAAATATAGTACAACCTTCATAGTTGACCACTTCCCTACACTGACTTCTTCCTTAAGTTCACTTAATTTTCATAGATTGGACATATGCTATTAGTATGTATCAGTACAGTCGGCCTATTTCTTTATGTTGGCCACCTCTGTATGTTGACCAGTTTATTATAGTCCCTTGGGTGGTCAATTTATAGAGGTTCTACTGTGTATTGTTTATTTGGTGACAGTTGATATACTAAGTTGTGTCATATGCTTTCTACAGTGGGTAGGGATTCATGTGTAAATTTTTTTTTCTTTCCCACAGCGCATGGATTTAGGAGAATGTACCAAAATCCACGACTTGGCCCTCCGAGCAGATTATGAGATTGCAAGTAAAGAAAGAGACCTTTTTTTTGAATTGGATGTAAGTTTTCTTTGGTATTGATTCCTTCTTACTGAAAAGAATCAATATTGAATTATCAAGATTAATGTAACATATATGTTTCGAAGCAACATAACAAAATAACATAACACTCTAGCTGAGAGCTAGAACATGGCCAATGCTGTTTTATACCTGTGTATCTATCACCCTATCACTATCCCTATGTTGTATGTATTATTTCCTTGTTTTTTTTTTTTGAGACAGCTTCTCAATCTCTCACCCTGAGAAGAGTGCTGTGGCATCCCAGCTCATAGCAACCACCTCCTCCTGGGCTCAAGCGATTTCTCCTGCCTCAGCCTCCCAAGTAGCTGGGACTATAGGCACCCATCACAATGCCCGGCTATTTTGGTTGCAGCTGTGGTTGTTAGGCGGGACTGGGCTGGATTCAAACCTGCCAGCTCAGGTGTATGTGGTTGGTGCCTTAGCCACTTGAGCCATAGGCTTTGAGTCTATTTTCTTGTTTTTAAAAATATTTTTATTATGTATTTTTATGATTCCTTGGATAATGTTTATTCTTGGTTTCAAGTTTTTTTTTTTTTGAGACAGGAGCCTCCAGCTGTCCCCCTGGGTAGTGCTGTGGCATCACAGCTCACAGCAACCTCCAACTCCTGGGCTCAAGTGAGTCTCCTGCCTCAGCCTCCCGAGTAGCTGGGACCACAGGTGCCCACCACACTGCCCAGCTATTTTTTGGTTACAGCCGTCATTGTTTGGTGGGCCCGGGCTGGGGATTTGAACCCGCCACCTTAGGTGTATGTGGCTGATGCCTTAGCCACTTGAGCCACAGGCGCCGAGCCGCCTATTTTTAATTTTATAAGACAGTTTCACTTTGTCACCTTTGGTAGAGTTCTGTGGTGTCACAACTCATAGCAATATAGAACTCTTGGGCTTAAGCGATTCTCTTGCCTTAGCCTCCCAAGTAGCCTGGACTATAGGTGCCCGCCACAGTGCCTGGCTATTTTTTATCGTTGTTGCTATTGTTGTTTAGTAGGCCTGGGCAGGTTTGAACCTGCCAGTCCTACTGTATGTGGCTGGTGCCTTAAGCGCTGAGCTCTGAGCGCTGAGCTCTGAGCACCGAGCCCCTGGCTTTTTTTAGAGTCAGTATCTTGTTCTTGTTTATGCTGGTCTTGAACTTCTGACCTCAGGCAGTCTAACTTGCTCCCAGAGTGCTAGAATTACAGGCATGAGCCCAGACTCAGTTTATTTTTTAAATGCCTTGATTAATGCTAGAAAAGTAATAATTTAATTGAAGGGATTGAGACTACAGAAGAAGACTGAAATATATGTAGTAATGTAATGCACTGTTAGGAAGGGTGTGTATTTGATCAGTGTGTAGTAGTAGGATGTCATAAAATAATGTTGAAAACTGCATTACCCAGTTTGAAAAATGCTAAGTTGGATCTCCCCTAGAGTGAATTTTTTTTTTATAAGCCATTCTTTTGCCTAAGTCTTCCAAGTAGCTGGGACTATAGGCGCCTGCCAAAACGCCTATTTTTTGTTGCAATTGTTGTTTAGTTGGCGCAGTTTGGGTTTGAACCTGCCACCTTCAGTTTATGTGGCTGGCGCCATAACCACTGTGCTACAGGTGCTGAGCGAATTAGAATTAGAGTGAATTAGAATTTGTTTTGCCATTTTGAAGTGTTGCAAAGCCTAGAAGCCATAAAAGAATGATTCATACATTTGTCTATGTAAAAACCTAAAATATTAGCACATCAAAAACTCCCATACACAAAAAGATGGGAGAAAGGGAGAGATGTTAGTCAAGGGATACACACTTTCAGTTATAAGATAAAGTTCTAGAGATGGAATGTACATATCATCATGGGGACTATAGTTAATAATCGCATATTATGTTCTTGAAATTTGCTTAAGATTTGCTTAAGTTTCCTCACCATCAAAAAAAGGTTAGGCTGGGTGCTTTGGCTCGTACTTACCATGCCAGCACTTTCAGAGGGTGAGGTGGAGGATCCCTTTTAGGGCAGGAGTTTAAGACCAGCCTGGGCAACGTAGTGAGACCTCATCTCTAAAAAGAAGAGTTAGTCTTGTGTGGTGGCAAGTGCCTATAGTTCCTCCTGCTCAGGAAGGAGGAGGTAGGAGGATGGCTTGAGTGCATTTGGTTACAAGGTTGCAGTGAACCATGATTGAGCCATGACAGTCCAGGCTAGGCTACAGAGTACGACTCTGTCTCTTTAAAAATAAAGCAGTAACTGTATGATGTAATGGGTATGTTAATTAGTTCGAAGTGATAATCATTTCTTTTTTTCTTTTTTGAGACAGAATCTCACTGTGTTGCCTTTGGTAGAGTGCTGTGGCATCACAGCTCACGGCAACCTCAAACTCTTGGGCTTCAGTGATTCTCTTGCCTTAGCCTCCCAAGTATCTGGGACTATAGGTGCCCACCACAATGCTCGGCTCTTTTCTTTTTTATCTTTTTTTTTCCTTCTTTTTTGGCTGGGGCTGGGTTTGAACCCACCACCTCTGGCGTGAGGGGTTTGCGTCCTACTCCTTTGAGCCATAGGTGCCAACCATGCTTGGCTATTTTCTTGTTGCAGTTGTCATTGGTTGTTTAGCTGGCCTGGGCTGGGCTCAAACCCACCAGCCTCGATGTATGTGGCCAGCACTGTAACCGTGCTACAGGTGCTGAGCCTGAAATGATAATCATTT